GTTAAATACGCCTCTTTCATAATTGATCGTACTTAATTCCTTCTACGCATAAACCCTTGTATTGTGATTATTTTATCTTGAGATTAGTAATTCTTATAGTTATACTTAGTTTTATTTATTAGTTTTCATATTATTTTACCCCGTTGTCTTTGTAAATTGTAGAAGGTTTACACGGATAACAATACTATTATTTAGGTAAAGAATAAATTTAAGAAAAAAAAAAATAATAAATAACAATGAATTTTCATAAACCTATACAGCGACAATGATGACAGGGTTATAAATCAAGATTTTAAATTTTGCACGGATTTCGCGTCGCTCTCATAATATTTGATTCTATAAAAATGTATAATGTTTGTAATACTGCATAAGGAATTCCAGTACAAATTAATGGCTAATCCGCCCATCAATCTAACGTATTAAAAAGTTTTTTACTGAATTTGCACATATTCAGTATACATAATTTAAGGGTGAGACTGATTTTTAAAATTTGGAGTATCAGATTTTACTGTTAAGGCAATATAACAAATATTCTATTTTTTTCTCAGAATACCTTTTTTACAATATTTTAAAATATAGATTAACTTTCAGACATTTTACCGGGCAAAAAATTGTGGCCATTTTGTTAAAATTTTGCTAATTGATAATGTTTATCGTTATTTTGTAAAATTTGAATTTCATAAAATTATATTAAAACATTCTTTCAGAGGTGTTGCTGACGAAAATTTGTCTAAAGAAAATATTTAAAAATATATATAATATAATATAGAAATAATTTAAAACATAATAAATATAAAAATTTAAACTAGATGATTTTCAAGACGATTCAACTAAAGATTTGTAACTTGTAATACGTATAGGGAGTGACAATCATCGGATTTTGTGAAAAATTTAATTGGAAAGACTATTACTACTGAAAGAATTAAGAATTTAATTCAGGTAGAGGAAGGTATTCCACCTGAACAACAACGATTTATTTTTGGTAAGCAACTTGAAGATGATAGAATCCTTCAGTATTACCGTATTCTCCAAGCTACTAAAGTAGTCCGTGTCCGTACACGTACATAATTTCCACAGAAACATGATGAAAGTATCGAAATAATTACCATAACAACAACAAAAACAGCTATTCCTATATAAAGTCCTGTTGTATTTGAATATACTGAATCTGGTTTTGATGTTGATGTTGGAAACGACGTTGATTCTGATTCTGTTGAATCTGATGTTGATGTTGTATTTGGTTGATAATCAGAAATCCAAGTATAATTTCTTATATCAAGCATATATATTTTTGAACTATAAGTAGTAAAGTCTGATTTTTGATCATTAGTTTCCATTCCTATTCAAAAGGAATGATTATAAAAGAAAAGATTATGTTTTTTTTGATTAATTAAATTATCTTTAAAGAATGAGTGAATTACATATTTTGAAAAAAATAATTTAAAATAATTTAATTTTTAATAAGTTTACCAAATCCAATTATCATATAATTTTCAAACAAATTTGCTGAATGTCCATAAAGACATGGTGGTTCACCATCACCAGTATATCCCGGAGAACGCCATTCAAACGGGTAAGTTGCTGTATTTAATTCTATAAGAGAAGGACTCACAATAATTTCTCCTAATGACATTCCACCATAACATATTATAAGACTATCTGATGCTATAAGAATAAAAAAGGTGATTAATTGTAAAGAAAAAAAATGTAAATAAATTAAAGAAAGAAATTATTATTCATACCTAGAACAGCTGAATGATGAGTTCGATCCTGAATATCATTTGGGGATTTAGCAATCTATTAAAATAAAAAGAATAAATATCTCTTATTATTATCCACCTTAATAATAATAATTTAAAAAATAAATCGCAATTTAATTAATGAAATTATTTACGGTGTAATTCCAAGAATCTTGATTTATGTCATACATGGTAATCTGGTTAAAATAAATAAATAAACAAATAAAGATAATAGCTAATGAATAACAAAAAAACTACAATAAAGATTAATAAAACTTACATTATTAATTGGAACCATCGTAATAACATTTGCATTCAAAGTTTTGCCTCCAATATATATTATAATATCATTTGGTAATAATGTAGCAGTATAACCAAACATACAAGGTGGTCCATCAATAGTAGAACCAATTGAATATGTAGAAGTAATTGTATTAAAAATAATCATATCATTAAAATATTGAGTTTCATTCCATTCTCCTCCAAACATATACATATTTCCTTTAGTATCAATAACTGCTTGTATATCTCGACGTCTAATTGGTTCTCCTTCAATTTCTAGAACTGACCATTCTTGACTTGTTGTATCAAATTTATTAATTAATTTATTCATAACATAATATGGTTTACTACGATAACTATTTAGACTACCATACCAATTATCCCCTCCAAATACAAAAATTGTATCGTTATTTGATCCCCCTACACAAGAAGTTGCCCACCTAATTCCTACTAACGGCCCTGTCAGTTCATCAAAGTCATCTTCATACATAGAAAATGATATTTTATGATTGTAAGTTAAATCATGATAAAAGAAAGAGGAAGAGTCATCTCCTCCAATAAAATAAAGTTTTTTATCAATTAAAGCAGTTGAGTGACCATATAATGTTACTAGCGAAAAAGAATAAATTGAAATTATCCATAACTGTGAGATAATAAGAAAATAAATAAAATATTTGATATTTAATTTTATTATCTTCATTTTTTTTTCTATTATTATCTAGATAAAGAATGAATTTAAGAAAAAAATAATAAAAAATAACGAAATTTCATAAAACAACAACAATAACGACAGGATTATAAATAAATTCGTCTGATGGCCACTCATCCTTTTTCAATACAACAAAGTGATGCATTTCATTTACATAAATTCACCTTTCTAAGGAGACAAAGATAAAGTTATTAACAAAGCAAATATCTATGGAATATTCCGCACCACATCTCTACTTTGCGAAAATGCACGTTATTTCTTTTCGAAATTCGTATTCTTGTGAGTTGTGTCACCATGCGAAAATTCAATTAATTGCAATATCCATTTATGTACGATGCAATAGTGAATGTTTGTATCACAGTTCATTGTTAAATTATTTGTTATTGTTATAGGAATTCCATTTAACAACACGCACCATATTAAGAAATAACTTTAAATTAATGGTTTTAGTTGAGACTAAATTTGAAATACAAAGAAAAACGAAATATTAAAAATGAAATAACAAACAAGAATGTGCCTAAAGAAAATATCAAAGTATACATATAATTATAATAAAAATTAAAATAATATAAAATACAATAAAATATAAAATTTATAATGATATTACTAAATATCACCGCATGTGATTGTCCCCGTGTCTTAATTTTTTTGCATTTCCGAAAATATAATTGCCGAAATAATTTCGGCTGCCGTATTTAATTTCGGTAGTCATAACTATTTTTGGCAGCCATAATTATTTTTGGCAGCCATAATTATTTTTGGCAGCCATAATTATTTTCGGTAGCCAATTAATTACGGATGTCATAATATTTACGGAAATTTATTTAGAAGTTTTGCTTACTCCGGATTAACTTGATGTATATTAATGCCACAGAAATAAAACATAAATTGTAACGTAGCCTAGAATAAGGACTTTTGATCGGTCATAGAAACATCATAGTAAAAAATCGCTTCCTGCCGTGTAAATCCGGAAAAACGCGATGGAATTTTTTCATTCCTGTATCATCAATATACATCAAGTTATTCTAGTGTAAGTTAAACTTCTAATATAAATTTCCGTAGGTAATTGATAAATATTATGATCCATAATTTTTTTCGGCATATGAAATAATTACGACTGCCTAAAATATTTTCGGCATTTCGGTTTTGAAAACATATGCCGAAAATATTTTCGACATTTCGGAATTTCGGCACCATATATAGTCTCCATAGTCACCACTAGGCAAAATTTCATATTTCCTTGACCCTAACTTTGTTCACAAATTTAATTTTGTCCAGTGGTGACCTGTCTTTAGTAATTTTCAATTTATAAATTTAATAAATTTTACAAATATTAATTAAACTAAATGAATCATCAATTAATTATTTTTGATTATACGAAGGGAGTGGCGATATCACCAGATTTTTTGTGTGTGAAAATTTAACTGGAATGACTTTTACCTTTGAAGCTGAATAACGTTTTGCTACTGAAATAATTAAATAATTTAATTCAGGTAAAGGAAGATATTCCACCTGACCAACAACGGCTTATTTTTGCAGGTAAGCAACTTAAGGATGATAGAACCCTACAGTATTACAGTATTCTATGATCGATTTCCAACTAAATAAACAATCTGATGCAATTCCCAAAACAATTATAACAGTTAATGACCATTCTTACTTTTTTGATGATCCCGATGTTGCTTTATATTAAGAAATTCAAGTATATTTCTTATATCGAGCATATGTATTCTTGAACTATCAATTATTTTTTAAATAATGAATTACAAATAATTTATATATAATTCAATTTAATAATAAGTTTACCATATCCAATTATCATGTAATCTCCATACAAACTTGCTGAATGAACGGCAAGACCAGGTGGTTCATCGGTACCAGAAAATATCGGAGAACACCAAACGGGTAAGTTGCTGTATCTAATGCTATAAGAGAAGGACTTACAGTTGTGTCGTTAAATGATATTTCTCCATAACATTTTATCCGGCCATCCGATGCTATAATAATAAATAAAGAAGAAAGAATAATCATAAAGAAAAAATTGTGATCAAAAATATTGTTGTTATTAATTAATGAAATAATTACAGTGTAATTCCATGAATCTTGAAAGGAAATCCATTTAAAAAATAAATAAATAAAGATCATGATTGACGAATAACAAAAACTATAATAAAGAATTATTAAGTTTAGATTAGTAATTGAATAGTTGGAAGTGTAGAAGTGTTAGAAACACTCGCATTCCAATATTCGCCTCCAATATAAATTATAATACACTCTGTTAATAATGTAACAGTAACCAACCATACAAGGTGGTCCACCAAAAGTCGAACCATTTGAATATGTAGAAGTTAGCGTATTAAAAATAATCATATTCGTATCTTATTATTATAAGTCACTTGTCATTCATCCATATACATACAGTACATATTTCCTTTAATATTAATAACTCTTTGTAAAAAATAACGTCTAATTAATTCTCCTGCAATTTCTGGAGCTGACCATTCTTGACTTTTCGAATCATGTTTATTAATTAATTTATCAATAACATGGTTTTCGCATACCATAGCAAACCTCTCCCCCAAATATAAAAATCGTAGCATTATTTAATCCTCCTACACAGGAAGTTGTCCACCTAATTCCTACTAATGGCGCTGGTTACTCATCAAGTCCATCAGATAAAGGATGGTGAGACCGCCAGTCTGTGGTATTTTCTGATATATCCGATATGTCAAAACTTTTAGTTAAATCAAGACTAAAGGAAGAAGGAGAGTTGTCTTCTCCAATAAAATAAAGTTTTTTATCAATTGAAGCAGTTGAGTGACCATATAATGTTACTTGTGAAAAAAAAATAAATTAAAACCATCCAAAACTGTAATCTAATATGAAAATAAATAAAATATTTGATATCTAATTTTATTATCTTCATTTTTTTTACCATTATTTAGATAAAGAATAAATTTAAGAAGAAAATAATAAATAATAATATAAATTCTCAAAACCTATACTACAATAATAATGACAGGATTATAAATAAAGACTTTAAATTTGTACACGCATTTCGCTTCATCACTCAATATACAATGAATGGAATGAATCAAACATTAAAGAAAAAGTAATGGATTGCATTTACTGTATATTTTAATAAACCAAATATAAGTAGAAAAAAGATATAAGTGATAAAAAGAAAAAACAAATAACTAATGGATCTTATGTTAACTATTTTTTGACCTTCTAATAAAAATTGTCAGCTCAAAATTTTATATCTGTTCATGATTTTCTATATGTAAATTAAACCAGTGGTAAACCCATATGACCAAAAAACACATTGCACCATCCAGACCCTATAAAAAAATTTATTTTGCAATTTAATCCATGTCTTTGAAAATATTACGCACCCCTCTATTTTGTAGAAACGCACGTTATTTCTTCTTCTAATGACAAATATTTCATATTTTAAAAGTTATTCATTTACCCTACCAGTAAGGAAGAATTTTAGTTGGCAGTCGAAGTAAGTATTTTTTTGAAATTTACTTAGAAATAAAATTATTGTGAGTTGTGTGCCAGCTCATATGTTCTATATGTTTATTAAACAATCGTTTAATTGGTTTTAAAAATTCAACCAATATCTATTTATATCTTTGTTGTCACGATAAATATTAACGTAATAGTTGAATGTTTGTATAAATTTGAAATACAAAGCAAAAAAACGAAAAATGAAATATATATGTCAAAGAAAATATTATATAATAATAAAATTATAGAAATAATATAAAACCTAATAAAATATATAAATTTATAAATTTAACTAAATTTTAAGAATAACTATTAAGCATCAATTAATTATTTTTGATGTGATGTCGCTTTTAAAAAGTTAGATGATTTTTCGACTAAGGAGTGGCGATCATCAGATTTTTGTGAAAAATTAAGAATTTAATTCAGGTAAAGGATGGTATTCCACATGACCAACAGCGATTTATTTTTGCAGGTAGGAACTTGGGGATGATGCATAGAATCCTTCAGTATTATCGTATTCTCCAGGCTACTAAAGTAGTCCGTGTCCGTACACGTACATAATTTCCGCAGAAACATAATGAAATTAACGAAATAAGTACAATAATAATAACAACAACACCTATTCCTATCAAAAATTTTATTGTACTTGAAGTTACTGAATCTGATACTGATGTTGACGTTGATTCTGATTCTGGTTCTGTTGAATCTGACGTTGATATTGTATTTGTTTGATAATAAGAAATCCAAGTATAATTTCCTATATCAAGCATATATATTTTTGAATTATAAATAGTCAATTCTGATTCTCGATCATTAGTTTCCATTCCTATTCAAAAGGGATGATTATAAAAAAAAGAATATTTTTTGATTAATTAAATTATTTTAAAGAATGAGTGAATTACATATTTAACACATATTTTAAATAATAATTTAAAATAATTTAGTTTAATAATAAGTTACCAAATCCAATTATCATATAATTTTCAAACAAATTTGCTGAATGAGCGGTAAGGCCAGTTGGCTCATCATCACCGGAATATTCTGGAGAACGCCACTCAAATGGGTTAGTTGCTGTATTTAATTCTATGAGAGAAGGGCTTACAATTGTGTCGGATGTTGATATTCCTCCATAACATATTATACGGCCATCTGGTGCTATAAGAATAAAAAGGAGAGAGATTAATCGTAAAGAAAAATAGGTAATTAAATTAAAGAAAGAGATTATTGTTCATACCCAGAACAGCTGAATGATTACTTCGATCTTGAATATCATTTGAGGATTTAGCAATCTATTAAAAATAAAAAGTATTATTATTATCTATCTTAATAATAATATTTTTAAGAAAATGAATAGCAATTTAATTAATGAAATTATTTACGGTGTAATTCCAAGAATCTTGATTTATATCATACATTGTAATCTGATTTAAAAAAATAAGCAAACAAATAAAGATATTAACTGATGAATAACAAAAAGCTACAATAAAGATTAATAAAACTTACATTATTAATTGGAATCATCGTAATAACATTTGCATTCAAAGTTTTGCCTCCAATATATATTATAATATCATTTGGTAATAATGTAGCAGTATAACCAAACATACAAGGTGGTCCATCAATAGTAGAACCAATTGAATATGTAGAAGTAATTGTATTAAAAATAATCATATCATTAAAATATTGAGTTTCATTCCATTCTCCTCCAAACATATACATCTTTCCTTTAGTATCAATAACTGCTTGTATATCTCGACGTCTAATTGGTTCTCCTTCAATTTCTGGAGCCGACCATTCTTGACTTGTTGTATCAAATTTATTAATTAATTTTTCCATAACATAATATTTTTTACTACGATATCTACGCCAATTCTCTCCTCCAAATACAAAAATTGTAGCATTATTTGATCCTCCTACACAAGAAGTTGCCCATCTAATTCCTACTGACGGAAGCTCGCCAAATGTAAATAAAGGATATGATACGTCAAAACTTTCAGTTAAATCGAGACTAAAGGAATAAGGAGAGTCATTTCCTCCAATAAAATAAAGTTTTTTATCAATTAAAGCAGTTGAGTGACCATATATACTTGATGGTGTAAAAGAGTATATTGAAATTATCCATAACTGTGAGATGATAAGAAAATAAATAAAATATTTGATATTTAATTTTATGATCTTCATTTTTTTTTCTATTATTATTTAGATAAAGGATGAATTTAAGAAAGAAAAATAATAAAAAATAATGAAATTTCGTAAAGCAACAACAACAATAACGACAGGATTATAAATAAAGATTTTTAAATTCGTCTGATGGCCACTCATCCTTTTTCAATACAACAAAGTGATGCATTCCATTTACATAAATTCACCTTTCTAAGGAGACAAAGACAAAGTTATTAAAAAATCAAATATCCATGGAATATTCCACACCCCATCTCTACTTTGTGAAAATGTACGTTATTTCTTTGTTAATGTTGAATGTTTGTATCACAGTTCATTGTTTAAATTATTTGTTATTATTATCGGAATTCCATTTACAAAATACAAATTACACGCACCATATTAAAAAATAACTTTAAATTAATGGTTTAGTTATGAGATAATTTCTAAATTTGTAATACAATGCAAAACACTATTAAAATGAAATAACAAATATATATTTATATCACACCAGTTGTGTCGAACAGTTTGGGTTCCGCAAAGTCGGATAGGATCGGATTTTATCAATATTCGGATGATCCGATGTTCAAATCCCTTTATCCGGATTCGGATTCGTCCTATTCAAATCCAACTTTTAAAATCCGAATCCATAAAAATATTCAAAATATTCAAAAAATATTCAAATCCACGAATTTAATTAAAAAAAAATTTTATCTCCCTTTTCTGATATGATTTTTGTGGATTCGTAACAGTAGAATCCGAATATTTTTGGCAGAACCCTAGTTTAACACCTTATTCGTTAGGGTTATTTGTAGTGTATTTATCACCATGTGTCATAACGAATAACAAAAACTAAGTATAATGAAGATTAATTAATTAAACTTACATTAGTAATATCAATAGTTGGAAGTTTATTAGTATTAAGAGGAATACTTGCATTCAAATATTCGTCTCCAATATACAAAATTTGGTAGTAATGTAGCAGTATAACCAACCATACAAGGTGGACCGCCAATTTGCGTTTGTGAAGTTAGGAAGTTAGAGAATTAATAATAATCATATTCGAATCTGATTAGTGTAAGTCACTTGTCCACCGAACATATACATATTTCCTTCAATATTAATAACTCCTTATTAAAAATAAAGTTTAATTAATTCTCTTGCAATTTATTAATTAATTTGCCAATAACGTAGTTTTTTCATATTACCATACCAAATCTCTCCTTTAAATACAAAAAATTGTAGTATTGTTTGATCCTCCTACACAAGAAGTTGCCCACTTTATTCCTACTAATGGCATATAAAGGATATGATCCGTCAAAAATTTCTTAGTTAATTCAAGACTAAATGAAGAGGAGAGTCATCTCTTCCAATAAAATAAAGTTTTTTTCATCTCGAATGACCATATACACTTTGTGGTGTAAAAGAATAAATTGAAATTATCCATAACTGTGAGATAAATAAATATTTTGATATTTTATTTTATTATCTTCATTTAGTTAGAATATATTTAAGAAAAATTAATAAATAATAATAATGAATTACCATAAACCTATGCAACAAATAATGACATAAATTCACCTTCTAAGGAGATAAAGTTATTGACAAAAAATTATCCGTGCAAAAAAGATCTAACTGGAATAAGAAACAAGTAAAACTGATCAGCTCAAATTTTATATCTGGTCATTATAATAGAATACAGAACAGACTGAAATTAGTATGTAATGTGATATGGATTTTCGGGTTTTAAGTAGTTTTTTTAATAGTGAATTTGTGTTCGTTGTGTTCAAACACTTGCCCATTATATTCCTTTTTTGGTAAGATTTTCTTATCGAAAAAAGAAAAACATTGTGTCTGTTTTTAAAATAATCTTTAATCTTTAATCGCTATCGTAATCGTAATAGTAATAATGCTGAGTATCGATTTCTGTCACCGTTACCGTTACCATTACCATTACTACGATTACGATTAAAGACCGCTCACCCTCCTCCCTAAGAACAAATGTCCTTTATATAAAAAATAAAAGAGGATCATGCGTTTGAATTTTTTGTTTGTTTATTGTTTATTTATCCTTAAGCCATATGAGCCATATGATTTATTGGATATAGGAATTAATGAGAACGATGAACGGAATAAACAAAAAAAAATAATTTAATTCTTTTTCATTATTAAGGTTTTAACAGTTATAAAATTTGTTCATTTCTTATAAATAAAATACATTATTTTTTCTAATTTTTATTATAAATTTTACAGCGTTTTAAAGAATAATATTACATTAACTTCGGAAGAGTAAATTCGTGTAATAACTTTACTTGAGAAAGTTAGAAAAGTATAATGAAGTGTTAATAGACTTCAATAAAAATAGATGTTCTTTTCCTGCTCCTTAAGAAACTTCATTTCTGTTCTATCTATTTAACTTTTTCAGACTTCTTTGCTCCTGAATTCATCTCTATCCCGTTACCAATGGATCTTAATCCTGTGAACTTTACTTCATTCAAAAACTTGATTATATCTATCTAATATTAAGCAGCATCATGAAAAATACAAAAATAAATGTGATTTTTAGGTGAGATAATGTTATTTAAAAATTCAGTGTGTAAATTTGGTGCATATATAATTTATTAATTATAATTTTAATTTTTTAGATGTCGATTCACTTTTAAAGAACTGAATGAAGAAGCGAATAAATATTTAAGTGATTATAAAGAAATGATAATATCAATAATAGCAAAGTTACAAATTGGATCAAATTATTTAAAAAATGTAAAACAATAATTATCTACAATTACTCAATAATGAACTGATTTAAAAAATAGCAAAGTTTAAGGTGAACTCAATTTTATTTAATTTTATTTCTTGCAATAAAGTTACAATGAAACTTATACAGAAAATTAAATAAATATAAATTACTTAATGACTTCGCAGGATAAAAGAATGATTATATACGTTAAAAAAAAATTGATTGGATATCAGGAATTTCAAATCATGTGTTTAATATATCTTATAGATTGATGATCACGTTGCGTAAATCCTTTTTTCTTATTACGCAAACTTACATGCCAAAGGTATTAAACAAGGACGTAAAGGGTCTCAAGTTTGGGATCATTTTGTTAAAGAATCAATAGGTAGTGGACACTACTCAGCAATATGTCAGTACTGTTCTAAATCTTGGACTAGATGAAAACCCGAAGTTTTGAAAGCACATTTGACTTTACATTGTACTGAAATACCACAAAATGTAAAACTTGAATTTATGACAATTTTAACAACAGTAAATATGGTTCCAAAAGATTCTAACAAAAGACCAATAACAAACTTTTATGATTCAACTAATGAAATTGAGAAGGGTAAAAGTGATAGAATAAATCAAACATTAATCTGATTTTTTGTTTGTTGTAGGATATTATTTTCAATAGTCAATCATCCTTATTTTATTTATTTTGTTCAAAGCCTTTGTTATGGTTATAAACCACCCAAAAGAGCATCTCTTTCAAACTATTTTGGATAAAGAAAGTGCAGCAGTTTTAAAAAAAATAAATGATGAACTGAAACATAAAGATAATTTGACATTAGGTATAATTACATTTGAAATTTTGATCATGTATTATATTTTAAACAGTATTTATATAAATAAAATTTTATTATTATAGCTGTAGATGGGTGGTAAGATTTTTTAGGGAGATCAATCTATGATTTTATAATTACTACATCAACTAGATAGCCATAGTATCTTATGCTGCAAATGACAAGATTAATTTCTGAAAAATATCCTTTTATTTTATCTATTTGTTGCATGGCATATCATATTAATCTTATCACAACAGACCTTATAAAATTAGAAACAACATATCTTGTTGTTTTTTTTACATCCTAAATATCGAAGTAAGTTAAATTAATGTTTTTTATATTTTTTATTTAAGCAAAAGGAATACAGGATAAAGCATTTCGTAAAATGTGTTTAACAGCAATGAAAATTTTGTTAAATTATGGTAGTATTGAATATACTTGCTGAATTCTTTTAACATAAATTCATAAATATTCTCAATACAAAGCTCCCTATGAAATGGAATATGTCAACAATTATGATACACCTGAAATTTGGTATCATGTTGACAGCCAAATAATTATATTCAAGAATTAGCATTAAAATTATTTGCAATAACACCACATCAAGCTACATGTGAAAGAGTTTTTTCTATACTTAATTGGATGATAGGTAAAAGAAGAACTGGGTATATAATTTAAATAATTTAATTTATAATAGTAATTTATTAAATAATTTTCTTTTTAGAATAAATACAGAAAGACTTCAATTAATGGCTCAAATGATTCATATTTTATTACAAATGTTAAGTCAGAATTAAAATTTTCCATTAGTAATTTGGATGTAAATGAACTTGAAACTACAAATTACCACTATTGTTGATAGTGATAATATCTTTGTTGAAGAAGGAAATGGTTGATTTTATTATTTCTGATAATGAAGTAATTAATTTAGATAACGAAAAATCTCAATGAATTGCTTATAACAAAAGAAGTAGATTTAGATATTCCTGAATTTGATGAAAATAATGAAAATATAAATTCAGATATTGAAGTTGAAGAGCAATATACAAATAATAGTACAGTTCATGAAGAATCAGAAATTGATTTTGAATCATTACTTGATGAAAATACTTTTTTTAAATTTAATTAATATTAGTATTTTTTTAAAACTTATGTAATTAACCATTGACAATTTATATCAATAATAGTAATAATAATAATAATAGTAATAATAATAGTAATAATAATAGCAATAATTATAATTACAATATAATAATAATAATAATAAAATTTTTTAACAATTTATATCAATAATAGTAATAATAATAATAGTAATAATAATAGTAATAATAGTAGTAATAATTATAATTACAATATAATAATAATAATAATAAAATAAAATTTTAAAATAAAATTTTAAATCAATGGTTTTTTTTTATATTTAATTATGGCTATAAAGTTATAGCCATGATTCCAAGCCATTATAACAATTTATGACTATAAAGCTATAGCCGTAAATGTCATAATGCCGTAATTGTTTAAATTGATATAATGCCATAAAATAATTAAGGAATTACAGTTTTTGACTTTAAAGCAAACAATACGGCATGTGCTATAACAGTAAAAGTTATTAAATATAATTTCAACAGCATGTATAATGTGAATGGAAAAATGGATTCGAAAATGAATAAACAAAAAAAAATAATAATTCTTTTTTTTTTTCAAATCCAATTTTTGGCTCCTTTATCCATAACAAATTTTTAATTTCAAGAGCATCAGATTTAATAGATTCTGAGTTATGGGATCTTAGGATTCTGAACAAATTTTCAAATAAAAACAAATTTACCTTCTTCCATCTATTTACAACTTGGTACATGTGTTATGTACCTCAACAATTCTTTAATAGAACATGGTATTTGTAATAGAACAATGGGAATTATTACAGATATTAATCTTATAGATCAATTTGTTAGGGTAGCATTTCAGTTAAAGGATTAATAGATATTCAGGTTTATATGCATACTCATTATTTTGAAATAAATGGATGCAATTGTTACAGAACCCAATTTCCTATAAAAAATTGCTTTGGCTAACTTTACACAAAACACAAGGTCTTACTTTACCAAAAGTAAGTCTTGCATTAGATGGAAATATTTTTTCATCTGGACAAGCATATATTGCTCTTAATAGATGTCCAAACTGAAACAATATTCAAATATCTCATCTTGATTGATCAACATTCATCACAAATCCTGATGTTATTCTTGAATAGAAAATATTTCTATATTTCATCCAACTGTATTTCATTAATGTAATAATATATATAAAAAAAATAAAATAATATATTTCTTATAAATTTAAACAACAGCTCATATAACATGCATATTCATGTGACAGGGGTGGTTACTCTAAAAAAAATAATGGCTAGTTTTATATTAATTAAAAAAGTGGCAAACCTATTGCCTGACCAAAGAACCCATTACACCATCTAAACCCTAAAAAAAAATTTATTTTGCCATATCATTGAAAATATTTTGTACCACCCTCTGATTTGTGAAAATGCACATTATTTCATTCTTCCAATAACAACATTTCATTTTTTAAAAGTTATCTATTTACCCTACCAGTAAGAAAGAATTTTAGTTAGTAGTCAAAGTATATTTTTGAAATTTACTTAGAAGTGATTTCTTGTGAGTCCATGTGTTCTTTATATTTTTTGATACCTTTATCCATGTAAACCTTTTACAATTTACAAAGACAATGGGATAAAATAATACTAAAAATAAGAAACAAAACTAAATAAACTTATAAAATTACTAATCTTAACAATAAAACAATCACAATATAAGGGTTTATACATAGAAGGAATTATTTATGATCAATTATGAAAAAGGCATATTTACTATTAACAGAGGTATGAAGACTTGTTGATAGGAACAAATGGTTTATCAATTATCAAGAATACAATAAACAAGGAACTCAAAGAATTTTGTAATATTAACTTTATTACTTAATAAATCCTAACTGAAAACTAACTCAAAAACCAAGATGAACTAATGAACTAGAAACTGAAGACTGAGTTGAGGGAATTCTCAGCTTTTATATACATTATAAATTTAACTGCTAAGTTAACTTGTAATCTGACTGAAAACTTTACTAGTATCTATGTTAATATCCTGACTGGTACCTTAACTGTTAATTTAACTTGTACTTTAACTGAGATATTAACTTGTACTATGGCTTGTGCTCCAATTTGTATTCTAGTACTACAGATTTATAAGAATTTAGAAATCTACTAATTTAAGTAATAAAATTTAATTTGTACCACAGACTATTAAATTGATCTACTGTAATACTATATATAATAATAAGAGATAAATAATAGATAATAATAAAATAATAAATATACAATGTAAAATATATAATAATAAAATATATAAAAAAATAAAGGTAAAGCAAAGGTAACAATAATGTAATAGTTAAATGTGGTTTGTGAAATTACAGTGGTGATCGAAAGTAATGCAAAACAATTTTGATTTAATAAAATTATTTTTTTTTTAGTACAAATTCAATAATATTTTATTTTTTATTTTTTATTTTTATTTGTCAATGGTCACAGTTTCAAATAAAAAAAATTAAAATAAAAAATAAAAAAAATTTTTTTAAAAATTTTTTTTTTCAGAAAGTAGTATTTCATTTCTTATTTTTTTTTCTAACACAATTCATTTAACTCAGTAAATCAAATTAATATATATTGTTTTTTTTTATTTATACTAGATTCAATATGAAATACATTACCATCTTACTTATCCTTTCCAAGCCTTAATAATATCACAAATTCTTTCTGACATAAAATAGATCAAATTGATACAAGTATCAATGTCAATCTCTTGTCAAACCTGTTGAATTTTGATCTACAAGTCTTCCTTATTCAAAATTCATTCAGGAAGATAACAAAGATAATGATCTATTTCATTCCATAAATGTTCTATAGGTGGACCAATTCAAAACCTTTATTTTGTTACTTTGAAATTGACATTTTGTTGAAATTTTTGTATGTTTAGGGTTTTAATCCTGTTAAAAAATTATATATTTGGTAGCAAATCCTTGAACTTTGATAGTATTTAAGAGATCTTCACAAAGTATTTGTTAGTATAATTTCATTCTATCAATTTTACAAAAGCCAGCAACACTATGTAACATAAAGCATCCCCATTTCATCACAGATTCACCTTCAAATTTCACAGTAGGCTTAATATGAAAACAATTTAATGGTTCCTCAGGACACTTCCAATAATATTATTTTCCATCAGATCCAAAAACTTTAAATTTTGATTTATCAGACCATATTACCTTTGACCAATTATTTATTGTCCAATTTTTATATTTTTGTATAAAATATAGATGATGTTTTTGGTGTTTTTTCCTCAAATAAGTTTTTTTCTTTTAACTCTTGATACTAACCCATCATTTTGAAGTATACGTTAAATAGAAGGTACTGAAATATTAATATTTTCTTGTTCTTGTAGATGGTTTTGGACTTTAATAGCAGAAGAACACTGGTGAGAGTTAATGAGATTTATGATTTTTTTTTGAGTTGGTTTATTTGTGATAAGTGGATGACCTGACTTTGGCAAGTTTTCAACAGATTGATTTTCAAGTCATCTTTTTTTTAATTCGAAAAACCGCAGATGGATTTATATGCCATGCTCTTGATATTTCCCTTGTTGTATATCTTTTTTGTAATGAAAGAAGAATTTGGGTTGTATGACACTCTTGTGTTGTAACTTGCTTACTAAGGAGTTGCAACATGGTATAAAAACAAAATAAACAATAAAATTTACTTTTTATGTGATATTTATGTAACAAAATAATCACCATCTGGTTCTTGTCAAAAACGATCAAAAGTAACGCAACACGTGTTTCGTATTACTTGACTGATTATTTCGGTATTAAGATTAAACTGACATTATTAGCAGTTAATAAAACAAAAAAAAAGAACATCTCCGGAATTGTTCGAAACAGTTCGATTGAACGAAATTTTTTTTTGTTGCATTACAAATGATTGCCACTGTATTTGTTGTAGTATTCTATTCGAAATACTCTAAATTAATTTTATTAAATAATAATGATGAATATTGAAATAATATAAGACGTAATAAAATATATAAATTTATAAAATTTAACTAATATTTTAAATAAATAAAATCATTAATTAATCATTTTTATGCTTATTTTTTTAAAAAAGTTAAAAGATGTTTTCAAGATGATTCGTCTAAAGATTTTCAACTTGAAATATAAATTCTATTGTAGGAAGTGGCATTCATAGATTTTATGTAAAATTAGTATCATTATTCCTATTATAATCTTCAAAAGGATAGGTTTATGTTTTACACAAAAGAGAAAACATAAAATATAAAAATAAGTAAACCACCAAGAATTGTTCCTAAAACTGTTCCTTCTGTTTTTGTTAATGATCCTGATGTTGCTGTTATATTTATTTGATAATAAGAAATCCAAGTATAATTTCTTATATCGAGCATATATATTTTTGAACTATCAACTATTGGGGATGTTAAATCATTAGTTTTCATTCCTATTCAAAAGAAATAATTATAAAAAAATGGAGATTTTGTTTTTTTGATTAATAAATCATTATTTAAAGAATGAATGAATTACATATTTTATATAAATAATTTATAAATAATATAATTTAATAATAAGTTTACCAAATCCAATTATCATATAATCCCCATACAAATTTGCTGAATGAGCGGCAAGACCAGGTGGTTCATTGGTACCAGAAAATATTGGAGAACGCCATTCAAATGGATAAGATGCTGTATTTAATACTATAAGAGAAGGACTTACAGTTGTGTCGCCTAATGATATTCCTCCATAACATATTATACGGCCATCCGATGCTATAATAATAAAAAAAAGGGAAGGAGAGAGATTAATCGAAAAGAAAAAAAAGGTAATTATAGAAAGAGATTATTGTTCATACCAAGAACAGCCGTATGATAACTTCGATCTTGAATATAACTTTTGGGAACAGCAATCTATAAAAATAAGAAAGGATCGATTATCTCTTATTATTGTCTAACTTAATAAAATTATTATTTTTAAAAAATAAATCGTAATTTAATT